AAAAAAACTGCCATTCATTTAACATTTTTACATATTTTGGAAAGGTCATTTGAAGTTGAAAGGACGCTAATAGTAATTTACTACTTTTTTCTTAGTAAATATTAGAAAAGCATTGGTAGTCAGACACAAAAAATAACAACCCGCAACTCTTGAGTAATGATTTTAAAGGGGATATCATACAAGATTTACTACGATAATAATTAAAAAATAAAAATTTTGTACAACCGACTTTAATATAAATAATTAAGAATGACTCAAAAACTATTGGTCTGACCTCGATCAAATTTATATGGGACCACATGTGAAACACCAGCTCTTAGTAATAAGATATAAGCTCTTAATAATAAGATATAGAATAAAAAGACAAGAATAATTGAAATTTAAGTAATCGATGCAAATATTGTTAAAGATGACGTAGCCACTGGTTAAAAATAAGTCTTTTCTTTTATGTTGAATTTGTATAAGTCTTTTCTAATAAAAAGATGTCATCTGTGATCAACAGTTACGTCTAAAATTCTTACGATAATTTCTAAAATATTGATATTTGTGAATATTAAAAAAATTTAGTAGATGCGCCTTCTTATCATGAGTCATGGTATATTTAACTCATTTATTCAAAAATTGTTAGATGCGCCCTTTTTTCTTACGACCGCAGCATTGTTTCGTACCGAGCTAGATACAGGTCGACAGCGAAGGGAGTGTGAGTACAGTCGCGTTCTAAAGTACTACATGGTATTGGGCTATTGTTTTATAATATTATAGTAATTAATTGTTTAATTGTAGAATCATAATAGGTGTTTTACTATTTACTTAGAACTTTGGAAGAGGTGGGAATTAAAAATGGATAATGTTTACTTGAGCATTATTTGTTATTTCTATCGTAAAATATAAAGTAGTTTGTAACAAAAAAAACTTAAGCTAAGGGTGACACGCCGTCCATTATGACGTCTTGGGTCACATGAAAGTCAGATGTTGATGGTGTGTTGGTGTTACTGGATGCTACTTCATCATCACTTTCATCTTCGCTTGAGCTTCCGTCATCAGGTCGATCACATGGTAATTTTTTCGGTATTCTCCCTCAACACTTTACTGCACAATTTTCCCCATTCACCTTCTCCTATCATATTTACCTTTTCGTTCACTAGTTTAGTCATAAAACAATAGATATAAATAATTTTTGTTTCCTTCCTTTTTAAAACATCGTCGCGAGTCGCAAAGTAAGCTGTGTATGCGACTGTATTTTTGGAGCGAACAAAGCGTGGGAACCAATAGCATGCAGGCACAGTAATACTGGCGGATTGTTCCCCCGTCGCGCCCCTTCGTACCTATATGTGATAAATCGCTCAGTGTCCAAGTTCAAGGCCAGCGTTCTTTTTTCACCGTTCGCGCGTACATTAACCTCCATTAGTCAGGTGATATCAATTCAGTTTCCACTGCTGGTTTTATGTTTCAGTATTTTCATGATTTTTTTTATGAAATTATCGATTCATTTAGCTGTACTAACATGATGGCGCGGGAATAAAGCTAATAAAACGTTGTAAAAATATGATTTTTTTTTCATCAGGATCAAATTTATTTGTGACCCATGATCAAAGGTATACTTGGTGCTGTCGCCTGTCTTGGTTTTCGGGAGCGTTCCAAAAATACCCTGTATATATATATATTATACTAGGCTGAAATAAAATTATTCCTTTGCCTATATCCAATTCATATTAAAAAAAAAAACGAAATGTCATGTTCTGATTTGCTCTACGGTCCAAACTAAATGTACCAGAGACGTCCATCTCTATGTCTATGGTCTGAACGCGTAGTGTTTCTATATAGTTTGTGTCATTAAGCAAATTAGTTTATTACAACTCCATTCCTTTAGAGCTTCTGCATATATTGAGGGCATCTGCCTTGAGATTTGATAATGGTGCCACAATATATAGGTTCGATTCAGTATTTTTGCCGATTGACGTGTTGGCCGCTATTATATTTTCATTACAAAATACTTCCGTCAGCCACTTTAGAGTGTTTTACAAGACATTTTTATTGCCCACTCAAGACTTTGACAGTTCATGAAAACCAATTAGTCAGACCCACAAACTAGTAAGAAGTGCTAGCGGTCAGACCTATGGTCAAGCCAAAGACAATATCTATTTTTATAAAGTGAGCGCTAGGGTAACGAAGATTGCAATACGTTGTCGATAAATAAAATGTTTTGAGAAATTACCAATTCAACACTTAAAATATCGAATTGTTTGTATGAAAGTCAAGTGAGCGCTAGTCACGACGATTGCAAGACGTCGATAAGTGAAATGTTTTCAGAAATTTTCAATCACCGTTTCATTACACGGTTCTCAAAACATTGCAGTGTACGAATATCCATATCATGCCGTGTGTCGTAAAAGGCGACTAGACTTGGGGAAGTATTATTTTTAATAACCATGACCGACGTTATAGGTCTATAAAAACAACAGTGAAAAATCACTTACTTTGTCACGTCGACTACTTATTGGAAGTTGACATAAACGTTATTTTTCACCGTGATGTTAGTTGTCAGTTATGATTAATAAGGGACAGAGTGAAACAAATTAGGATACGGGCAGCAGTGTCTACTCTCTAGTCTAATATGGACAAAATAAGTGAGGACCAGCGATCGCTAAGTTGTCTCAATAATTATTATAAATATTACAAATATAAATTATTATTGATTTTTTTTTATTTATAATATTTCACCATTTTTTAATGTTTCTTTTTGTCAAAAATTACTTCGCAGACACTATTTACCAACGGCAGCGCGGCTATAAATTCTACAAATTTTCAGGGACAGGCGGGCTGTGCTTTAGCACGTATCGATCGTTCTCCTGTTCCCTAACCTCCATGCTATGATCTATAGTGGACTTTACTAGGCTCTATTAGGAAAAGTAGGAGAAAAAAATCCGAACATGTTTTTAAATTTAATCTCGTCATTTACTCATGAGCTCTTCTGTATTTCCATGACCCATGGCCAGAAGTAGATTGTTACGACCTTATGAAAAAGAAAAAAATGTAAGGAAACTGAAAGGAAAGAGAGGGGAGTAATTTTATTATTTGAAAAATATTTCTATGTAAAAAAACTCATCAAACAACAAGATGAAATAATTTATTAAACAAGTTGCATAAACAAGTCCAATGGTTAAAACAATGATAAATAATAAAATCTAGTTTACTGAAAAGAAAAAAATTCAAATATTATGTCACTTCCACAACTAACGCAAATCTAACGACGCTCCATATATTAAAAAATCCATCAAGCAATTTAGGTTACAGAGCGTGTCAAAGAAAAAGACATCCATACGTGCATCAGGCGTGTCACTTTGTAAAAATCTGAGGTATGGAAAATGGTGGCGCGATTTTCAAATTTGTTCGCATTACTCGTGGGGTATTAAGGTTTAAGAGTTTGCAGTGTATATACTCAACTTATTTATTGAACTATAAGATGTGGGGTATTGAGGTTTAAGGGCTTGCGATTTATTTATATGGGGTTTGTAGTAATATGCGATTTATTTCCTAATTTCAGCTATGGAATTCCATACCTTGAAAAACTTGAGGTATGGAGTGCTCCATACCTTCCATAGTGGAAGTGACACCCCTGACGTGCATACTCATAAAACATTACCCTTCTTTTGAAGTAGCCAAGTAAAGAAAAAAGGTTATACTATAAAAAAACAAAACATGCGGTAACAGATTAACCACTCAACTATGGAGTGTAAAAGTAAGGAGTACCAACTCCCATACGAGAATAGTTAAAAAAGTGTCCATCTGTAAGCAGTAAATAACAGTTAGTTCAAAAACTCTCCACTACAGCGCTCGAGTAGCTAGGGGGTATGTTAAATCGCCGTAAAATACGTTGAGTGATTTTGAAAATAAAAATTTTGAAAGCAATAAAATAATTATTGTAAAAAGAATTATGGTGAGTTTGTGCAATAAAAAAATTTATAAAAAGTTCTTTATAATTTAGACTGTAGCTACAGTGGCGCTACCCTTATTTAACGCCTTCCTACGGACACTTTTTTATACAGAGTCTGTACTCCTTACCTCTACACTCCATACCTCTTGATAGAGAATAATTTTGTTCTGTGCTCCATACGCTCAACAGTCAAAACATCCATCCCCGCTGTCAAATATCTGTTGTCAGTAACTGTCAATGTCATCCATTACGGCGATTCAATTTATACCATTGTTTTACTTTATTTTTTCATTATTTTTGTTTACTATTATACTTCCCATTTAGCATTAATGTTATAATAATATATAAATTTACATGAGAAAAACATGTTTATTATATTTTATTGTTTAAACCATTACACTCACATATTACATAGAATATGGTGAAACGGAAGATCTTTTGACAGTGCAGCGCTGAGTTATTATGGACTGATCTCGAACATCTATTGTTAGGTAACCTAAGGTATTCATTAAATTGTATTCTTCATCTCATACACACCCTCTCACACACGACAATTTACATATTTTTTTTTCTTTCTATTTACATTTTTTATAACCCACATGTAATATAAAAAATAAAGTTAGGTAATTTTTCCATAATATAAATAAGTAATCTATGTTTATTATGTCCGGGGAGTGGCGCCATATGCTGAAATACAGGTTCTGGCCTAGTTCGGCAATGGATGCTATTTTTCATGTTATAAGATAAAATATTCCTGTGTAGTTTATAAATAGACATATTGTTAAATAATATATATGGTAATAAAGATTATTATAATCATAGGAATGATGCAATTTTGAAAGATACTGTTGAGAGGTCAAGAATATCCACTAGCACAGCTTCGTCTCGTTTCGTGGGTGCCGTAAGAGGCGTCGGAGGAAAACTGAAACAGGAAATGGGCAGCAGCATCTTCTTAATAATAACTAAAAATTTCAGGTTTTTTATAACCAACGATAAAACACAATGACTTTCAATAAGTGTTATCCGTATTGAATAAAAAATATTGTATTCTATTCATTCAAAAAAATTAAATACAAAATATTATTAATATTATATGACTCGATGAGGAGGCGGAGAGGAGGGCGCGGAGGCAGCCTCGTGCCTGACGCCCGCCTGCTGCTGCCGTCGCTGGGAACCACATGCCTAGCACAGTACCACCACTCGAACTCGCCACCACCTCCTCATGATATACTTCCGTCAACAAGTACTCATTGCCGTTCTCCTCATCTAACCGCTCAACGACAACGACCACTTCTGGACGAACATTTCGCCTGAAAGACAAATATAAAAATTACATAACATAATTTAGTTCATACATATTTTATGTAATACTATCTGTTCCCCGCGACTTCGCCTGCGTATTAATTTATGACCATTAGATTTCATGGATTTTAATTTATTTGTGTAGAACCCTAATTATTCCTTATAACACCAGTTATCTGCCAGTGAAAGTCCCGTTAAAATACTCCATAGAGTAAGGAACGTCTCGGCGAAGCGGCGTCGAACGGTTCGTGTATTGTATTTTATTTACAGTCTAAATTAAATATCCGATTTGAATGAACTACTGGTACATAAATACCCTTAATGATAAAACTATCTATTCAAATAAGAATTAATATCATGAAACTAACCATCCTAGCTACCACGGCTCCTATAAACTATTAAATATAACATAAATGTTTATAATAGAATAATTATATACAAATTAATTTGATAGAATCAAAGATGAAAATAGTAACTAGTTACAACAGTTACTAAACTCCAAAGAGACAGTATAATTCCTTCATGGGGCAACATAGGTATATGCTTTTACAACAAAGTCCCAGAAAATATAAAACCTTATCAATCAGTTTAAATTTTTAGTAAGCTAAATTTGTTTAGTAAAGGTTATGATTGATGATAATCCTTGGGAATGAGGAGATTGCTACCATACTAATTTTATTCTATAAAAAATATTGTAGATTAATTCTATTCACCAAAGTCTCGCTGGGTTTCTAACTCGTTCTTCCCAAGACGGAGGCTTTTTCATATCTCTAATTTATAAGAGTGAAGAATTTTCATTGAATATAGACAATTTTTAAAAACTGTGGTAGCTTCTACTTACACATTCTTTTGAAAAAGCTTTAATACAAACATAATAACAAAATTAACTTACGAAGAAGATAGTGACACTGGTAATGGCGGATTTACTTGTGCTGGCTCAGTGGAAGGTGCGGGTCCTAAAGGGAGACTTGGAAACTCCAACTGCTGTCCATGTTCATCAAACATGGCCAGTAGAATAACCTCATTGGAGTTATCGAAGTCCCCCTGCATATCCTGCTCCTGAAAAGCAAGTAAGATGAGACATTTTAGATACACATATAATATCTTTTTATGGTCATGAGTTGGATTGACCAGGATACCACTGCTGTCTTTTAATTAGTAAGTGAGAAAAACCAGAGACTTTTCATAGATGTTTCAAGTTTACGTAATATGATAGGTGTAGATAATTTATAGGCTGTACCGTCCTGTATATATATATATACAGGACGGTAAACCAACATGACAGGAGAGAGATCAGGCGCAGGACCAATGGCTGTACATGCTTTTCGAGGTACGGGGGTGAGACAGCGCCAACTTTCTGACTCTGGGCTGCTACTGGGAATTTCTTGACGGAAAAACTCATTAAATAATTTTATTGACCCAACCCAGAATTTGAACCCGGGACCTTATAATCAGCAGTCGCGTTATACAACCACTATATGCACTCATATTTATAATCATAATAAAGACCAGAGTATAATAAATAACTTACAAAATTATTATGTGAAAATGTTTCTTCCTCTTCTTCGCTGAGATCGCCCTCGTGTAGTCACAGCATAAGATATCAAATTCCGCCATTTTTCTGAAAATGTATGTAGACAAAGTTTACATAGAAAAAGTTTCATATACAAAGTATCTTGCCGTTATGGTGGATCAGCGACTTTCCTGGTTGAATTAGTATCGAGTAGAATTCGAAAGCTCACTTGGATATTTAAAACTTTAAGACATGTTGCCAGTTTAGATCTTTTGAATCAAATATATGTAGCGCTAGCTCAATCTATTATATATATAATGTATTGTATACCAATTGTACTTACAAAAGTAAATTTATTGAACTTGAAAGAGCTCAGAGATGTCTACTAAAGGTTATGCATTTTATACTGTACAGGTACTCCACTAGCTTTTTGTATGTATCAACTGGGCTGATTTCGGTGAGGCAGTTGTACATATTACACACTGTATTGAAAAAACATAAATCTTTGGCTTTTAATCCTATTTACAGTAGTAAAAGAAGAAATTATAGCGTAGCTCCTATTTGGAGAATCAAACCACCTTTGCGAAACATCAATATAACAAGCAATCAGAACATTTATACAATCAGATTAATAAAATATTGCAAATATATCCATTAAAGACATATGACTGTAAGACAAAAATAATGCAGTGGCTTAAGACAATTACGATCAAACTGAAGCTTTATTACAATTTTTTTTTATTTTTCTTTTAAAAAACGTTACCCCCACACTAGGATTTTCTCCTGTATCGTGGAGGCAGTTAACAAACACAAATTGCACAAGGACAAACATCCAGACCCGGAACAATTATTTGTAGGCCATACAAATACTTGTTCCGTGCCGGATTCAAACCCGCACCCCCCAGCACAACAACTCATTGCTAAGCCACGGAGCCGTATTATAATTTATCTTATAAGCTTATAACACATTCACTCACTGTCTTTTTTCATACATATACACACCCACGCGCGCGCGCGTACACATACATACACCCTGTTTCTTTTTTTGTTGAATGTATTTAGTTAAGGGAGGGCGAGGACGTTCTACCACAAGTATCTTTATACTTAAAAGAAGTCCTCAAACTTATACTAATAGAATATGTTGGAAACAATAAACTTTCATTTCAAAGTTTATAAAATTTATATATATGAATTATGAAATACTAAATTCTACACTCAAATATCTAACTACTATATAGGAAAAAACCCTCGAAATTTCATAAAGAAAAGAAATATATAACATAAAATTATATCGACATCGTAATAATAAACACTCAGTAGGAGCCTCTAATAAATCGAAATAAAATCAATCATAGGTACCTATATATTTATTTGTTGTTTATGTATTGTTTACGCCATTTTTGTTGAAAATAATTTTGCCATAATTTTCACGATATATCGAAATTATAATATAAAACGTCATTTTTTCACATTGGACTGTATAAAATATGAGTTTCTGTGTTTTTTTTTTCATGATTTATGATGATTATTTACACTTTATATTTCATTTTCAGTTAATTTTGAGGATTTATTTCATACATGAACGGCGGTATTTGAAATGCTAATTTTATAAATTGAATAAAAATTGTTAAAATACGAAATATAAGCAAAACTTTTTAAAAAACAATGTAATTACTTACCCTCTGTATAAAAAAAACTCGACTAACTTTTCTATATATGTAAACACTTTCAAATTTTAAAAATAATACAGTAGGGCAAGAGTCACGTACACGACACAGGGATATACTGTAGTAAATACGACGCATCATGGCGGAACTCGTCATTTGAACTAAATACTCTTATTTTATAGAAGCGTAATTTAGTAACGAGACTAGTTCTAATATTTTTTTTAGAAAATTAGATATATAGTTCTTATAAATAACATTTAAAAAACAATTGTTTTGAGAAATCTACAAAATGACATTTTGAGAATCCAAATGGATTCGCCGAGCTTTGAAAGGTTAACAATTATTTACACTCTCCAAAGAAATAAAGAAAACCACATAATACTTTTACTCATAGCGGAGAAAAAAAAAACGGTTGAAAACATACGAAAGGTGAACTATTTTACATACATAGAGATACATACAGGTGGCGCCGTCTATTGATCGACTTGTTCATATTAGTGAACCATAGATAAATATATATGTAGCAAGTAGTGAACTTCTCGTTTTTTCATCTGTCGCACAGATGACTTTGTTCTCTTGATCGACTTATTCGTGTTATTGAACTTCACGTTTTTACATCACTCGCACAGATGACGCTGATTACAAAAATCGATTAAAACGCTTAATTTACATAATCGATTTATTAAAAATCGATTTTTATTATCAAAAAATCGTCTTTACAAAATCGATAATATTAAGAAAAAAAATCGATTTATATTAAAATCGATTATTTTTTCACATCCCTAATCACAAGCGGTTCCCAAATCCCAATATATTTATATTTTGTATATATTATGTAGGTACTTCAAACTTCAAAGAAAGCGTAAAGAGTATAATCACCCGCCTAAGGGTATTAAGTGTTCTGTGAGTATAATATACAGAAAATTAATTCTACTCATTGCATATTAGATATTAGTTTGTGATTAAAGTTATTGAAAATAGAAATGGCCTATTTTAGTGAAATTTGTAGAATTTGTTTATGCGATAATGTACGCATGTATGTACTAAAGAAGACTGGTCTCGAAAATTTGTACAAAACATTGACGAATAGTTTGGTAAGTTTGTAAATATTTCTTAACATTGCAAATTGAATGTACTTCGTCGAGAAATACTTTAAAGAGGGGTTTTCGCTGGAGAAATATATTATAACATATATAGTGTATATAACATAAATAGTATATATAGTGACAAATACAACCAGAACCAGAAAAACAACAATTAGGCTGGATCCTGGATCGCACTAAAATCAGTATAATCATTGAAGTAACCGCGGGCTCAAACTTACCGAGTCTGCGCCATAAACAGGAACTTTGTGCATCCTTCAATGCAACCCGCACTGCTGCGTAGATTTATTCGTGGTGTCTGTTATTTTCCGTCAAAAAATTAATATCCACCCTAGTTTGCTCTTTTACCCACTTAAAGCCTATTGACTATTAAAGTGGGAGATTAGAGTGCACATGTGCTTACACACAGAAATTTTCTCACTCTTATATTTCTAATATTCCTATCAGACTGAGAAATTGGAGAAGGGAATAATGTGCATATGTGCTTGCTAACACACATATTATGCAATGTAATCCTGTCCTGCGCTGATGAATAGGCTCTATTGTGACCGAAATTCTGTCTGTAGAACATTATTATCATTATTTTATATGTGGTAGAGCCATGCTGCAGCTATATTATGGTTGTATCACAGGTGGTTCCGCTAGACTGGGGTGGTACCGTATTCACAGATTACTAAAGTAAAATAGCAGCTTAGTTCTGCTCTGTTTTATATGGTGAGTGTAGAGCATTGGAGACCATTTTTACTAGAGGTGAGGCATTCAGTGTTGGTCTCAGGGGTGACAACGCATCTGCATTTTGATTCTTGACTGGGGATCAATGTGGAGTTCTATAGGCCATAGTGAACGACAAATCAAACAGTCCACCTGATGGTAAGTGAATGCACTTAGAATTAGATGGACTGTTTGATTTGTCGTCACCCTTGTATAAAAAATATTGAGTCAGCGAGCAGTTGATACAGTTGATATAACTCTGTATCCTGGTTTCAAATCTCTAGTTGTTCTATTTTTTTATAGGAATAGGGTGACAAAAGAGCACACAGTCCACCTGATGGTAAGTGGTTGCTGTGACCCATAGACATCTACATTTATCCTCGTTTGCGAATCAAAATGCAGATGCGTCATCACTCGTGAGGACTAAGTTGGAATGTCTCTTTTCCAGTAAAAAGAGTCTCCGGGACTCTACACTCACCATATGAAACACAACAGTGTTAAACTGCTATTTTACGCTGGTATTCTGTGAGAGCATGGTCCTTCACCGGTCGAGGCGACCCATTCATGCTACAACTATACTACTAATATAGCTGCAGTATGGCTCTACTCTATAAGCTAAGCCTTAACTTGAAAATACCTAAGAGTCTGAATCTACTGCTTTTAAAATTATATCTGTTAATGTCATGCACACTACTACGTGCCTGACACTCCAACATTTTAAATTAATTTGAGAATTGTGTACATATTATATTATCAGCGTGAGGAAGTTTGCTGATGACATCATGTCATCGCTTATCAATGATTAGTAATACTTTACAAGAAAGCAATGAATAATTTCGGAGTGGGCGCAATAAATTCAAAGATGTTGCACAAGTGAGCACACAACTGCGTTGTTAACAGTACTTACTAGGCGAGCACAGGGCACGGTCGGTGGAAGCGAGAGGGGTAGTAATAGGCAAACTTTCTGCACTCGGCTAATAGCTAGCAGGACTATCAACAGATGGGAAAACATAATTCTCGAGTGGTAGCCTCAACTGGTAAGCAAATTGTAGAGTGGCCGCCCACTAGATAGTGGCAATCTGGTAAGACAAGAAGTCGATGGATATAGGTGGCTTAGGACTATGTTGTTGCAGTGATGATGATTCAATAGGTGGCAGGACTTTGTTCTGCCTAGGAGTCTGTCTGGGTAGTTATCATCCTCTTGCCTATTTGTGCCACCAGCAGCAGTATGTGTCCCGGTGTGAAGGACATTGAGAGCCAGTATAATAACACGCTGTGAAGCGTTACATCTTAGTCCTCGGAGGTAACATCGCATCTAGCCTTTGCTTGAAGTTTGTTGCAGGTGCCTATGGGCTGCAGTTGTCACTTACCATCAGGTGCATTGTAAGTTCATTTGTCACTTTAATGTTATAAAAAAATGATGTTGATGAAGAGAATTCTGGTAGCCAATAGATTTTATTACAAACTTGTATATTTAAGTAGTTTTCCATTTTTATGACGAAATTTCATATTTTCAGGTGGATGTGGATGAGGAGGTCATAATTGTCTGTTTCACCTGTCATGCAAGACTCATTCGTTGCAGAACATTACAACAACAGGCTATTGAGTCAAATGCAGTTCTGGAGCAGTTGCTTGCAGGAGGGTCCATGGTATTATCCGTTCCATCCATTAAAACCTATAAAAGTCCCTCATAGATTGCTTTTTGCGAGGGATTTTGCCAAATTTGCCACACTTGGTAGGTTGGCAACCGCAGTTTATATTAGTCTGAGTTGTTGTCAGGAAGATGCTGCCGCCCAACTCCTGTTTCTGTTTCCCTCTGTCGCCAGTAGGGCAGTGGATATTCTTACACCGCCACTACACGGTCCACGGTATTATACCTGTTATTAATAAAAGTTCACTGCCTGATGATCACTACCTGTCTCGCGCCCTCTATGCTGCTTCCCGTTGCCATATGGGAGAATGTTTTTTGTACTGCAAAGTTAAGTTTATCCTTCAATCCAACTTACTTTTTCGTTAGAGCAATGTTCTATATTTTACGAATTACAGTGATGATTTCTTATATTTATGCGAACACTACAGATTGAATAAAATTATTTTTACGGATTTTATCGCGTTTAATTAACTTATTTTATATTCCCGACGTTTCGGTTGCTTTCCAGCTACTGTGGTCATGGGGGACTGAGGTGATAAACGCGATAAAATCCGTAAAAAAAGGTATTATTCAATGAATTACAGTGAGTTAAGTACTTATTTTTACAAAACTAATTAGCTAACTGTTTATGCTGTTATATTTTACTCTATTCTATATAAATTTAATATTATCTATATCTGGGGGCACGGCAGTGCCCCTGCCAAGTCGAGCAAAGAAGCGGCACGGCCGTACCATCCTTTTCTCGAAGCAGTTCGGGCCATTTTAGAAACCCTATAACTTCGTTGTGGATAAAACTAGAAGCCTGAATTTTCAGTAGCCAAGTAGGCATTGTATAAACTCGGTATATTTCAAATTTCATTAAATTTGAATCAGTAGTTTAAGAATTATAACTAGTCAAAGTTTCTTAATTTTGTCACTCACTGACTGACCGATCATCAGAACTCTAAGGTAGATATAGAAGCTTCAAATTTGGAACACAATTATTGTTTAGTATATAAATCAAGGAAAAATTAAAATATTTTGCAATTTCACTCCAGTTTACGAGATACACCAACTGCATAAATAACTTTGTAATCCCATATAAATATATAGGATTACAAAGTTACATTTGCAGTGAATGAATCAGTGTATCTATAATATATGTATAATATAATGGAATAATAGGTGTAGATAGGTACGTAGATATAACTATCTACAAAAAGAGATGAGATGCCATCAAAAACATAACTTGTAAAAAAAACCGAGTCTCGCAACTCAGTTCTGCTACCGAAAAAAGTTGTGAGATCCATGTAATACCAAGTTGGTTAATTTACTCAGTCTCTACTTAAGGGTCCTTCTGTCTTAAGTTATTACGTAATTAGCTAACCTAACAACGTCTTATAGTGACCACATCAATATTAAAAATCTTTTATGTTTTAAATAAATAAATTGACTTGGCAATCGCACTAAACAATCTAATTTAATATAATATGTATTACTTGAGAGATACATTGTGTTTTCATGCGATGGCCAAGTCAATCTATTTATTTAAAATATAAAAGGTTTTAGTACTGATGTGGTCACTATAAGACGTTGTTAAGTTAGCTAATTACGTAATAACTTAAGATAGAAGGACCCTTAAGTAGGGACTGAATAAATTAACCGACTTGGTATTACATGGATCTCACAACTTTTTACGGTAGCAGAACTGAGTTGCAAGACTTGGTTTTTTTTACAAGTTATGTTTTTGATGGCATGTAATATTACTCAGTAAACAAAGATAGATCATTGTCAATTTACTGCATTTGTGAATCTGATTGGAAATATTGTTGAGACTCGATACTCGGGATGGTTGAACTATATACATTCTTATGTAAGTTTATTCGGAACCCTCACTTTGTCCAGTTTTTATTATTATTTGGAGTTGTCAGGAAGATGCTGCTGCCCATCTCCTGTTTCAGTTTCCCTCTGTCCCTTTTTATGACATCTGCGGGATGGTATGGTAGTATGGATTCTCCTACGGCACCACGACACTGTCTTTTTCTCTTATTAACAAAAGAATTTGGTTTCAGTCAATACCAAATCATCATGAGGCTAGAGATAAGATTCAATTCACACCAATTAGTCATATAGATATCAGGCCAGTAGAGTGTGATCTAGATAATGATTGTCAGAACGAAATGTTCAGTCTTGAATCTGTTAAAGTTGAAGAAGAGAATTTAGAAAATGAGAATTCCAAATTTGAAGAAAATGGGAATCATGAAACAGGTAAGATATACACATTTTGTGATATTATTAAAATAAGCTACAAGTTACCGAATGGCAAGTGGTTACTGTAGTCCATGAACACAAAATAATAATATAGTGACATATTGGGGCGGATTAGGCCATGTGTTCCAGACGGGTACCAATTTACTCGACAAGGCGCCTTTAACGCGAATGTTACGCGTTCTTAATAGAATGGCTGAAGACAGTGATCTATTCTGTTGCACCTTGAGTGAGTTCACTAGGGTAGGATTGTTTACAATTTGTTACAGTTAATGACCACATTTTGCTATGCATGAGAAGAACTACACTGATGCATTAGTTTATTCCTGTCATGATAGTTGTTAGTTTAAATAAAAACTATCGGTAAATCCAATTGTGCATGCCCTAAGCGCATTAAAAAAATTACGTATAACATGATTAATAATAATAATAATAATAATTTATTGCCCCTAGAAACAAAACAGTTACATACACGCCAAAACAAAAGAACATTATAACTATTTGAGACAAAAGGAGACGGCTCAGCTTTGTCTGTAACGAGATACATATCTCATCACAGAGCTGTTTTTCAGCCGCTCCCTCCTCCCTGTGGTGTTGTGCGGGAGTCCAAAGTAGCAGGCTCCCCATTTACCTAACTTATACTTTTAAACTACGTACAAAGTAATAAAATGTGATAAAATCGTAAATACAAAAAAAAAAGAAAAAATTAAAAACATTAAAGACAAAATATTATACATAGATTATACGGAATTTTTTTAAAGTAGCTTAAATACACACAAGTATGCTTAACGTAATTATCAAGACATATTTTTCCCAAGGTTACTATTAATACGAGGTTAAAATTAATATATTTAAATAATAAAATTAAATAATAATAATAAAATTAATATATTAGATAAAATAATAGCTATCTTACAAATTATTACAGCACTGATCTTAAATCATTCAAACTGTATACACAGAATATACATGGTCATATATGCCCATACATACATGCTAAATCCCAAAACAAGAATTTAATCGTAAAATCTTCAAAAAATTATTTCTTAATTAGCCCCCCCCCTCTGCTGTCGGCATGCTTCGATAAGCTATCTTTCTCACACTTATGGCTACGCATAAGGAGACTTTTTTTGTCGTATTCATTTGTAAACTTTATTCACGTCTGGAAGTTGTTTAAAACCGTTAAATTCGTTTGGCATTTTGCAGGTATTATTAAAAATGACTCAATAAAAAAATTAATTATAACTAAACAAAATAAAATTATTCTGCTAACAGATTAGAAAATAGATAGAGTTAAACAATTAATATTTTCAAAACCGTAGAGCCATGCTGCAGCTATATTAGTATTTAGTAGTATAATTGTAGCACGCATGGGTCGGCTTGACTGGGGAAAGACCACGCTCTCACAAAATACCAGCGTAAAATGGCAGCTTGACGCTGCTGTGTATCGGATGGTGAGTGTAGAGAACTGGAGACCCATTTTACTGGAAAAAAGGCATTCCATCTTAGTCCTCACGGGTGACGACGCATCTGCATTTTGATTCTTCATTGAGGATAAATGTAGATGTCTATGAGTCACAGCAACCACTTACCATCAGGCTGACTGTGTGCTCGTTTGTTATTCTATCCTATAAAAAAATGCGGACTTGATAAATCTACACCATAAGCCACTAAAACCACTTTTTTATGTAAAAATAGCAATTAATCGATTTAAAAAAAATGAATAAGTCCAACAATCATTTATCTTTCTGACAATGTGGTTTTTATATCATTTATATGTTCAATATAATTGTTAGATGCGATTTTATGCGACAAAACATTGGGATCTTGATTTTTAGGCGCTAGTAGAACATACCTACGCGTTTTGCGCTAGACATGATTGTCGATGTAAAATAATGAGCTTCTTCAGACATTTTTTTGACTTATGCAATAATATATTTTAAAAATATTTTGATCCTGTATAAATGCAGCCAGTATGTATGTCACTAAGATGGATTAATTTCACAGGAATTAATGATATACTTACAACTGGTAAGCAACCTGTCTTTGCCAATTTCTTTAGGAATGCCACAAAGCACGGGCCTTAGCCACCTGCATCCATCGACTTCCTGCATGTCTTACCAGGTCGTCACTCCATCTAGTGGGGGCCGCCCTACACTACGTCTACCAGTACGAGGTTGCCACTCGAGAACCTCTCTTCCCCATCGGTTGTCAGTTCTGCGCATGAAACTAATACAAAGGGGAGACGGCATAAGCAACTGTGCACTGTGATTCGAAGTAGGTCCTGACGTCATCATAGTGGGCGTGGCTTTAGTTAGTATACTGTCAGCATTCGTCCTGTGCGCTTATGTGTTGAAAAAATCGCAAATCGGTGTATTTTCGTAGTATTAAGAAGAAAAGGACGAAGTGTTGTGTTTTATTGTGTAAAAACTACTCAGATAGACGCTCTGATATTATGGATGGCATCACATTTCATTTGTAAATAATTTTACACCTAATTTATTCAAATAGTTCTAGAAAAATCTCTTTGCGTGGGCTTTCAAATATAATTAAATATATTCGACACTAGATGGCGACACTTTGTGTCATGTGAACTAAAAATATAAAGGTCCGTAGAGCTCAGTATTAGTAAAATAATCATACGAAGGTGCTGAAATTTGTTTTGCATTCAGACCTAAAGAAATTTTAATCGCAAAATATTATTTTTATAGTTTATAATCATTTTTAGAACAGGCCGTATTCTCGTCAAGTAAACCTCATAAAAATGACAAAAAGACAGGGCCCTTATTAGAATTGAATTATTTTTCCCAGTAATCCAACTTTTAATATTAAATGCAGGAAATTGTACTTATGCTGATTTTTACGAAATGTTTAAGTTGTATTTAAGTACCATTCTATATGCAAAGAATCACTTAAATACAATTTAATGTTCTTAGATTGGCATTCGAAAAGTGCAATCGGATGCCTAATTTGGAATAAAATATTTATATTTTAATTGATTTGTAAATAAAATTATATTAATTATAATAATTTGTCTTTTACTTGTTCTCCCTCAGAGATATTAAGTAGTATAACCCACACATAAATAAAAGTCCAGCCGTTTCTGCGTGAAAAAATTACACATACTTAGTGTGGAATAAGCTCAAGGAGACAGAAAGAACACACAAAATTTCGTCTTTATAATATTAGTGAGATAAGTAGGATATTTAGTTCCAAATTAAATATCCTACTTAATATTGAAAATAGAATATTTAGTTACAAAGAGACTTTATTTTATGGATAAAAATAAATATTTCTTGAAGGTTGACTTTTACTAAATGATAAACATATTTAAATTGTATTTAAGTGATTCTTTGCATATAGAATGTCACTTAAATATAACATAAACATTTCGTAAAAATAAGCCAAGTACAATTTCCTTCATTTTAATATTGAATGTTGGGTTACTGGATGAAATAATTGAATTCTAATTGCGGCCCTGTCTTTTTGTTATTTTTTATGAGGTTTACTTGACGATAGATGGCGGCCTGTTCCCAAAATTATTATGAAAACTATAAAAATATTATTTTGGCGATTAAAATTTCTTTGTCTGAATGTATTTGCTTCATGAGATAGACGCTACGATGCTATGGATGGCATCACATTTCATCTGTAAGTAATTTTACACCTAATTTATTAAAATAGTTCTGGAATAATCTCTTTGCATCTGCTTTCAAATATAATTAAATATATTCCACACTAGATGGCGACACTTTGTGTCCTGTGAACTAAAAATATAAAGGTACGTAGAGCTCAGTAATGATAAAATAATCATACGAAGGTGCTGAAATTTGTTTTGCATTCACACATAAAGAAATTTTAATCGCCAATATATTATTTTTATAGTTTATAACATTTTGTGGACATACCGCCATCTACCGTCAACGTAGCTAAGCTACATTGTAACATCGATATGGAAAGATTCGAAAAGTTTTACTATTTATCGGTAGATGTAGATAGTGTAGTGGGCGGGGCTTTGCATCCCCTCACCCCGCAAATTGTCACGCATTGTTACATAGTGAAATTTAATTAAAACGTCTCCTCTTTATATTTGCTTCATGGTTCTGCGGCCCATTGCCACTTCAGCTTCTTACACTAAGCTTATGAAACATGCAGTATGGTAATGAAAGTGGGTGGCTCAGGCCCATAAGCTTTGTGATGGACTGTAATGATCTAGTCGCTTGAAAAAAAAAATCAGTTATTATTTTATATATTGAGTCAGAATCTGTTTCATTCTAGAGAGTGCTGAAAAACAAGAAGATTTGGAGATTGATGCTTTTGAAGATAGACATACAGATTTGGATGACGACTTGCCGCTAATTGCATTTGGTTCAAAGAGTAAAAAAGATGACCATGACATAGGTAAATGAATTTATGTTAAAAAACCTGTATCAAAAAATAAAAAAAATCACCACAAATTCCTCTTGCATCATGTAGTTGGTGATGTACTATACATACAAATTTTGCTCTTAATTACTTTAGTCACATCTAGCGGTTATCAGCTTTACTAGAATTATTTTGTGCGTGCAATTTGGGTCATAAGTTATCGGAGTATTTTGCTCTCTCTCCCACTCACGGGCTTTATGGGCGAGCATAGTGATGCGCATTATTGTTGTCGATAAGCGTTATCGATAGTGTATTTAGTTTTGTCATTATGTGGCCATGATAAAAATAAAAAAAATAGATAAAACAACGTATTTATTAACATAATAATAACAATAATTTTAAATAAATTATTAATTAGTTATCTATCTATTAAAAAACTATAAGTAGAAATGTTTCGCGTCTAACATCTTACATTTAAAATTTATTTATTTATTTATTTACATCCAACTTATATCTAACATTACAGGTTTCTACCCAATGCGATAGATAAAGCACTATCTACAATCATATATTACCTATATTACTATACTACCTTATAACTAATTATCCATAAAACAATTTTTGTGAATTCGTTCAGAGTACAAAAGAATAAATCTGATTTTCTGTCGATCAGGTTTAATGTTCGAAAAGCTCGCGTCAGGGGTGCCTCTCGCAAGTTAGTGCGACATCTAGGGACGGCCAGTAGGTCTGGCTGACGCCGCCGCCATACATATCTATCCGGAACATAAATATTAATCTTCTTCAACATATTCTCATTAATAATTTTACTCCTAAGGACCATAAAAATATATGAAACTAGTCTAAGTTCTCTCCTTACCCTGAGCTGATTGTATCCTACCATACCCAGAACAAATAATGTGGGGTATTGCAGTGGGTAAAAAGGATACACCCCATATAACTTGAGATACAAATACCTTACAAATTTGTTTTGTACCTTCTCTAACATTAGATCGTACTTCTTCTCATGTGGAGCCCAAATTATTGAATTACACTCCAAATTATTCCGAACTAGTGTGTTGTACAAAGCTATAATAGCTTGCACATTTGTGAAACCGTTAACCGTTCGTAACGTAAAACCTAGAGTTCTAAAAGCCTTTTTACATGTATCAACAATATGATCCTTAAACGTTAAATCAGCAGAAAATTTTACTCCTAAATCCATGACTTGAATTACCCTAGACATAGGTGTCCTGTCAATGTAATATGTATACCCTATGGGCATATGTTTGCGCGTGAAAGATATTGTTAAGCATTTAGCGGTATTAAATTGTAATTTGTTGTCTTTGCTCCATTCAACAACTTTATTTATATCGTCTTGGAGACGATCACAGTCCTCCAAACTACCTATATTCATCGATAACTTAAGGTCGTCCGCAAATAATAAACATTTTGATTTCTTCACAACATTGGGTAAGTCATTTATCATGATTAAAAACTCCAAAGGTCCTAGATTCGACCCCTGACTCACACCAGACCAGGTAAAATATGGTTTTGTCTTATGACCCTCATATGCTACATACTGTTGCCTATCTGTCATGTAGCTAGCGAAAAATCTCAATAAGTGTGGGGTGAAACCAAATTTTGCCATTTTTTTTTAGTAATATGTCATTATTTACCAAATCAAATGCGTTTTTGAAATCAAAATAAGCAGTATCAGCTTGTCCCCCACTATCTACTACTGGTATTATATCGGCCATAAGCTCTAGAAGGTTACTCGCAGTGCTCCGAGCAGGTCTGAACCCGTGCTGCGCTTCCGATAGCTGTGTGTTTATCTGTTGATATAAGCTTTTGTATATAGCCGACTCAAATACCTTGGCTGGAGTAGACAGCACTGCTACCGGTCTAAAGATCTCTACACTGGTCGCTATATTTCCTTTTGGAACGGGAACCACCTTCGTTATTTTCCATTTTTCCGGAAACCTAGCTTGGTTTAAACAGTTATTGTAAATGTGAAGTATTGGTTTTGCTAGCGCAGAATGGCAATCTTTAAAGATAAAAGGTGGTATCCCGTCTGGTCCTGCAGATTTCTTTGGCTTAAGTTGTTTAAGTGCGGTCAGTATGTCCTTAAGTTGCAACTGACTCAAGTGAATTCGCGCTGCCCCGTTATCCCCTCCGGCGTCAATGATAGCCTTACTCACATTTAAGTTTGGTCTCTGTGTAGTATACATCGAATGAAAGTATTTTGCAAACTCAATGGCACAAAGATAAATATAAAGATAATAACTTATATCTATAATTAAATTTGTTGTTATCGATAATGGCGTTGCGCCCTCGCAACATGCTTCCGCCCTAGCCGGGCTGAGGCCGAGCTATGGTTTATGACCCCAACTGCACGCACAAAATAATTTTACTATAGTGTATAATATAATGGATTTTCGCAATGTAACGCCTGATTCTATTGATAATCTTTTTGTCTTGTCTTACTACGCGGGCGAAGCCACCTCTGCCGTTTTTTAACATCCTTTCCGATTTCAGTCAACTTTTCGCTTTGGTTTTATTTTTAGGATGTGAGTACGAGGGGTGATCCAAAAGTAATTATTGATAGTCAATAAACACGGTGATTATTGTTAGAAAAATAATTTATTTTTCCACATAATCTCCTAACAAGTCAATGCGTTTAGTCTATTTTTGTTCTAAACCCAGAATTCCCTTAGAAAAAAAATCTTTATTTTGACCCTCAAAAAAAGCCGCAACAGCGTCCATGACTTCGCTATCGTCTGCAAATTTCTTGCCTCAAAGGTGTTCCTTGAGCCGAGGAAATAGATAGAAGTCACTGGGAACTAGATCTGGTGAATAGGGCGGGTGTTCGAACAGTTCAAATCCCGTTTCTTGAATGGCAGCCATCGAAACTGCGGCTTTGTGAGGCGGAGCGTTGTCTTGTTGAAACAGCACTCCAGCTCGCAATTTGCCGCGTCTTTTTCTTTAATAGCCCCCTGCAATCTTCTTATTTGGCCTGCGTAGTCGAGAGTATAAGCCAAAAATAATGGCTCCCTTTTCCAATTATTCCACCATAATTATTCCTTCAGCGTCCCCAAAAACGGACGGCATAACCTTTCTCGCCGAACTTGGCACTTTGAATTTCTTTGGCGTCGGGAGGAGGCTTGGTTTCATACCGTTGATTGTTGTTTGGTTTCAGGATTGAAATGGTAGATCCAGGTCTCGCCCACGGTCACGAAACCTTATAAAAATCTGATCTGCTTGGAACCTTTCGAGATTCACCCTCGAAATGTCGACAAATTTTTTCTTTTACTCGTCGGTTAACATTCTCGGTACCCAACGGCAATTCGTTCGCAAGGGTTCTTTGAACACTGCCATATGAGATACCTGTGACCTCAGCTATATGCCTGATGGTCACACTTCGATGTGCCAATACGATATCTTCGACTCCTTTCACTTTATCTTCAGTGAGGGATGTGGATGGGCATTCATCTTCCGTGGATGTTCAGCCCAGGTTAACCTCCTTGGCCCAGCGTGCAATTGTGAAAGGAGCAGAGTCCCTCAATATTTTACCAAGTCGCTGTGTATGTCTTTGGTAGACATTTTGTAAACAGAGGGAACTCTCATTTAATTTTTCTCCATTTTGATGTTATCTCTTTGATGATTCGTATTCAAATGAATGTACCTCTCGGGAATCGTAGCCTGTTTATATGATTTTTTTAAATTCTGATCTAGTGGGTACATAAACAAGAAAAAACTTTTTCGGATTTTTATGTGCACTGGAAATAACCTATTATCATTACTTTTGGATCTGTTGTCCAATCTATACAAATAAATAAAATTGAAGTGTCTGTTTGTATTCTCAAAATTACAGTTTTTTTACTAAATGCATATGAAAGTAAATACGGTACTTATAACTAAAATAAATTTTAACAATTTTTGTCTGTCTGTCTGTTTGTTCTGGCTAATTTCCGAAACGGCTGGACCGATTTTGACGGGACTTTCACTGACAGATAGCTGATTTCTTAAGGAGTTACTTTTATTTTAGAAAAAGAATTAAGGTTCCGCGCAAAAACATAAAAACCCTAACACGCGAGCGAAGTCGCGGGGAACAGGTAGTAGAGGAATAAATGTAGAATAGCGGTTTTTTTAACTTTCATGCAAGTCTTTTCATTGTTGCTCTGCGTCTAGCTTCGATTGTTAAGTTTTTTACATTAGTGCCTGCCAGTAGCTGGAGACCTTCCGTACAGGCCCTGACGTTTGGCGCGTAAAAAATAAAATGTCCTAGCGCTTGACGGGTTAGCAAAAATCAATATCTAAAAATGAGAGAAGGAGCCTAATGTTATACTATTCCTATACTATTCCTCCTCCTCATGAATCTGGCTATAATATAGAAAATCATTTTTTCAAATCGGACTGATAGTTCCAGAGATTGGCGTGTTTAAACAAACAAAAAACCCTTCCACTTTATTTTATTAGTATAGATTACAAAGTTATAATGCAGTTGTTATGTTATGTTCATGTTATTTTTATGTTTATGTCATATTCTCTTACTCCTTAGGCGTCGTTCCAACCTTATGAAAGGCAGCCTTAGTGCATGCGATTCCTAAAAAAGGCTGGGACCTATCCAAATACAGGCCTATCACCATCACCTTCTAGTTCTCCAAAATAATGGAATCCATTATTAACTGCCAGCTCACGCGTCACGCGCTACCTTGAAGAGCATACGCTGATTAGTGACCTTCAATACGGTTTCCGTCGAAGCTGTTAGGATCGATAGCACGGAAACGGCGTGTATGGATGTATGTATACATACATACACACCTACTTACAAAATTAACTATTTTATGGGTGCCAGTGGAGAAAGGACCTCTTAATATTCCTGTAAACTTCCACTGCTGAACATGGAAGAATCTCTCCCTACGCAGGAAGGATTTGCCTTGAGAGTCACGCTTGGCATAGGACTGACGATCGCAGAACCAGACGTGAGCACCTCTGGCAATGTCGCCTGGCGCCGGTCTGGATATTTTACATCTGAAGTAAACGAGGTGGTTATACCGCCACCTGTCGGAAGCCATCAGATTTTTCTGACAAACCCATAGTCGCCTCTTACGAAACCCACGGGACAAAATGTGATGATGAATTCTCTTATACCGCACTTACACGCCATCTTCGACCGTGTGTGTATAACACTAGTTCTGTGTGGAATTCGAAACAGCGATTATTAGATTAATGTAAATGTAACATGGTCAGAAAAATCATTCTTTTTCTCCAAAAATGAATATGAGAGACATTATTCGGAGCAATTGACTAAAATACTTTATATCTGGCAACAATATTTAGTATTATTGTGTAAAATACTATAATTTCTTTATTTCTCCCTGGGTTAACTGATAGAGAATGCCATAAGGCATAAACTTCGCCCATTGTAAACCGTTTAAGGTGTCTTGCAATAAAGATGCAATAACTTACAATAAATAAAAAGTTTAACTTCGACAAATCATTTTTCAGAAAGTTCTGAGAAGAAGATTAAATCAAATTCTACTGATTGTAACATAAACGATGTTCGTGAAGAAGACCTCGATTTTGAAGGCCCTACTATTAAATCAAACCCTAAAGTGAAAAAAGATAATCAACCAATTAATGAAAAAGGAAAGCATCCTGCAAAGATAATGAAAACGAAAATTTTGAAACAAAAGAGTGTAAATATGCTTAAGAAAAAAACGTCTGGGACATCAACTAAATACATTTTTGAATGTGATGGTTGCAGTAAAAAATTTCCAACAAAAGACATTCTCGCCAAACACATTTCATACAGTCATAAGACGCAAAACAACTCAGACACCATTGCAGTGCGGACACAAGTAGAACTAACTCCAGTACCACAACAAACAGAAATATTTAATTGTGATATTTGCGAATATAAAACATCTCAAAAACGTTCCATTTTGGTACATCTTAAAGCGCACGCCGCTAAACGAATGTACTGTTGTAATATCTGTGAATATAGATGTAATAGAAAAGATAATTTGCAAATACATATGAAAATACACACCGGTGAAAAACCATTTTCGTGTAATATCTGTGAACATAGATTTATTACAAAGAGTCGTTTGCAAACACATATGAAAATACATACCGGTGAAAAACCTTTTTCGTGTAATGTCTGTGAATATAGATGTATTACAAAGAATCGTTTGCAAAGACATGTGAAAATACACACCGGTGAAAAACCTTTTTCGTGTAATATCTGTGAATATAGATTTATTACAAAGTGTCGTTTGCAAAGACATGTGAAAATACACACCGGTGAAAAACCTTTTTCGTGTAATATCTGTGAATATAGATGTATTAGAAAAAGTCATTTGCAAACACATGTGAAAATACACACCGGTGAAAAACCTTTTTCGTGTAATATCTGTAAATATAGTTTTATCGCAAAATATAGTTTGCAAAGACATTTAAAAATACACTCTGGAGCAAAACCTTTTTCGTGAGCTATCTGGTAAAATATGTACAATATTGTGTAAACGTTTTGTATATAAATATGCGTGTACCAAATAAAAATCTATGTTTTGTGAATTTGTGATGTAATTATACAGGGTGTCCAGTAAGAGTAGCGGGAGTTTGTTTATTGATTCACGGCGTCAAGTTAAGTAGCAGGGGCGCGGGGAGGGCAACGTCGCGCGTCGGTTCGTGGAACTTTAGCTGGCATTGGCATGGAGCCGTATCCCGGAACGCATCGCGCTTTTTGCGTGCGAGCGTATTATCGCAATAACGATTCCATTGTTACTGCTCAGCGTTTATATCGCAGAGAATATCGCACACGTACAGCGCCAAGCGACGATGTCATACGAAAGTGGATTAAAATGTTCGAGAATACCGGGTCGACTGTTAAAATTCAAAATACAGGTCGCCCGCGATGCGTTTGAGATGCAGAAACAGTCGAAGAAGTGAGAGTTTCAGTACGTGAAAATCCGTCGGTATCAATTCGCAAACGAGGACAAGAACTAAACATCAAAAAATCTTCACTGCAGGTAGTTTTGAAGAAAGATTTGCATCTCACAGCCAACAAAATCCAGTTAGTCCAAGAACTGAAGGATTCCGATTATGAAAGTCGGTTAAATTTTGCTACTGAAATGCTAGAGCGATTCAACAGCTTTGACAATATTCTGTTTAGCGACGAGGCCAATTTCCACCTTAACGGTCACGTTAATAAACAGAATTGTCGCTACTGGTCCAAGCAAAATCCTAAAACAAAACATTAACGGCCACTTCATAGTCCAAAGGTCATCGTTTGGGCCGCCTTTTCTGGTAGAGGCATAACCGGCCCCTTTTTCCATAAAGACAGATGTGGGCGAGCAGTTACGGTGAATACAGACCGTTATTGTGACATGTTAAGGACGTTTTTGGCGCCCGCATTACAAGATTTCCCAGGTTTTAATTCAAGAACATGGTTTCAGCAAGATGGAGCCACATGCCACACCGCAGGGGCGTCAATAGAAGCTATAAAGGAATTGTTCCCAAACAAAGTTATCTCGCGTAGGAGTACCATTAACTGGCCCCCTAGAAGTCCAGATCTTAGTCCTCTCGACTATTTTTTATGGGGATACCTTAAGGGTAAGGTATACGATGACCACCCAACGAATCTGAGTCAATTGAAGGAGAACATCACGTCTGAGATGAGGGCAATCCCAACTTCGCTTTGTCAACGCGTCGTCGCCAACCTGCGTTCAAGGTTAGAGGAGTGCCAGCAGCGTGAGGGTACACATTTAGATAATGTTATATTCGCCAAATAAATTTCCAAGAAACTGTTTTTGAATTAAAAATAAAGGATATATTTATTTAATTATATTTCTCATTTTATTTAACTGTCAAATACCCGGTACCCTTACTGGACACCCGGTAAAACGAATAGAAAAACCTTTCCGCGCCTTATGTGCAAATTGAAACTACATTTATTCTGAAGAAGTTAATTCAATACCTCGTAATTTAGAATTTTGTACAATCGAATTCAATATAAATTATTAAGAATAATTCAAAAACTATTGGTCAGACCTTGATCAAATTTATATGGGATCACATGTCAAGCACCAGCTTTCAAATAAAAAAAGAGTTATCGAAATCGGTTCATGCAGAAAAAGTTAAGACGTAATAAACATATAAAAGAACATACAGTCGAATTGAGTACCTTCTCCTTTTTGAAATCGGTAGAAAGCAAAAAATGGAACCTTAAATACCGTATGTGTGAATGGAGGTTAGTAGAAACAGACTAGACCTTCATGTTTTTTTTTAAATTTAAATGATAGTTTACGTTTTTCTTTTTTTTACTTCGACGTTTATCGTTACCGTTACAGCCTTTAAAACTACTCTGTTGAACACAGGCTTCCCCCGTAGATTGCGTCATATTTGCCTTAGTTGCCATGCAGGTGGGTTGGCAACCGCGGTTTGTTCATTATTTTCACTTGTAATCAGGGAGACGCGGCTGCCCATCTTGTAGCTTGTTTCCCTCTGTCGCCTCTTACGACACCCACGGCACGATATGGGGTAGTGGATTGTCTTACACTATATCACATTATGATGTTGTGTGGTGGTGTCTGTCTGTACGTGGTAGAGCCACGCTGCAGCTATATTGTGTTTGTAGCACGAATGGATCGGTGGGTGGGAGCAGCTTTCGTGAGAAAATTATGTTTCGTATGGTGAGTGTAGAGAACCGGCGACCGCTTTCACTAGTAACAAGGCATTCCATCTCAGTCCTCATGGTGACAACGCATCTGCATTTTACTTCTCAATTGAGGATAGGGATTCTTAATATTTGTCAATGGGCCACAGCATACGAGCACACAGTCCACCATCATGTGGACTGTGTGCTCGTATGTCCCCCTTATTCTATTTAAAAATTCAACGAATATCTCAGATCCACACCGGCTTGAAACCATTTAAGTGTGAGGTGTGCGAGAAATTAGTTAAGGATCTTCATAAGAAGCGGCTCCACTTCACATACGTTCATTTAAAGAAGCCGTGGCCGAAACGCTCCAGTCGAGAAAGGAGTCAAACAAACATACCAGTACCGATATCGGCATTATTAGTGACACATCACTAGTTAATACACTGGTCTATGACAGTGTACGTTTTAATAATCTAGTACTACCTACTTCTATGCTTTAGTTATTGTTCTTAGATAGTCTTTAATTTATCTACTCTATGCTCCAAGATACGTAGCTTGCTACATATTTATTTATCTATGAGTCAGTTAAAAAATCTGTTCAGTGATAAAATCACAAGCTCACATTAGGGATGATCGATGTTGCAGAAACATCGATGATGACATCGATGTTGGCATCGATAGCTCAACATCGATGTTCGATGTTTAGCCTACTCAAAAAATCGATGTTGACCATTATCGATATTTTTGTATATGTATTAAATTATGTGGGTATACACAGCAAGGGAAACGTAACAATTAACTTGAATATCAATTTGCGTAAAATAGTTATTATGCGACAACCGACAACGATACTACAAAATAAAGCGAAAGCAGTGACCACTGTGACATTACAGGTGACACTTAACAATTAAGTTGACACACCGTAATGATATTTTTTTAGGTTAGCGATGCGTTCTGGAGGAGATGCAAGATTTAGTTGATATTTATTTCGCGGGTTCGCATTGTTCGCAAGTTCCCAATAATCGATTATGGGTTCATTGACATCGATGTTTCGATGTTTGACATGTGTCAAAATCGATGTTATAAGATCGATGTTTTAATTTTTAACATCGATGATCATCGACATCCCTAGCTCACATCTTACAATCACAAGTACAGATGTGACATTGAGTGAAAAAAATCGATTATTAATATACCGATTATTTTCTTTGTGATATTAATCGATTTTGGAGAAATCGATTTTTATTAAAAGAAATAATCGCTATCTGCGAAAATATATCTTTTATTCGAAAAATGCTTGCTTTGCTATATATTAATAAAACCACGAGATAAGTATGCTACAATTTATCAGAATAAAAATCAAATAAAATGATAAGTTTAAATAATAATTTAAATAAATTTTATACGTGGTTTGTAATTTTTATACGTAACCGTTCGGCTCCGCGTACTGCAGACTGCTGCATTTGATTTGATTCTCTGTATCCTGGCTTTGATCACAGACGGGGACGGTTCGGCTCATGTCGGCCGATATATTGGAACGGGACGTCATCATCGGCCTGGTAGATGAGAAGTCCGTGGAAATCTGCAAGCTATTGGATCGAGGCCTCAACTACTGCGGGGGTGTTTCGTCTATCCTCGAAAGCGTGTGCCTTCTGACTGGGCTGTAGACTTTCTTGTCGCCGAGCTTGGGTCGTATTATTTTACGGTGAGAGTTGTATGTACCCAACGAAGACGGAATGGAGGACGATTATTTGTATGCGATGTTAATGGGTGATGGATTTCGTGTGGGTGCTTAGGGGGTCGGGGCCGTTGGTGAAGTTTGCCGCGACAATGTCCATCATCTGGTCGTATGCTCAGTAGTTGTAGGGCCCGTATTGGGATCCGTGGTAGTAAGGATCCCAGCCATGCTGCAGCTATATAAGTACTAGTAGTGGTATAGTTGTAGCACGAATGGGTCGGCTCGACCGGGGAAGGACCACGCTCTCACAGAATACCGGCGTAAAATAGCAGCTTGACACTGCTGTGTTTCGTATGGTGAGTGTAGAGAACCGGAGACCCATTTTACTGCAAAAGAGGCATTCCATCTTAGTCCTCACGGGTGATGACGCATCTGCATTTTGATTCTTTATTGAGGATAAATGTTGATGTCTATGGGTCACAGCAACCACTTACCGTCATGTGGACTGTGTGCTCGTTTACGTCTGCCACTCGAGAACCTTTCTTTCCCATCGGTTGTCGGTTCTTCGAGCTTATGGCCGGCCCATTGGCACTTCAGCTTACTATTCCGTTGGGCTATGTCGGTCACTCTGGTTCTACTGCGGATATCCTCATTTCTGAGTTTATCACACAGAGAAACTTCGAGCATAGCCCTCTCCATAGCTCGTGTTTTATGTACATTTACTGTAACGTTTCTTTGTTATTATATAAATTAATTAGTGTGGATTGTACAAGTCTAAATATACTGTAAATATCAATAATCATTGTATATACAATCCTATCCAATAAAAATAAAAACTAATCAGAACGACAATATTCTGGTTTCAAAACTAAACTACAAAACAATTTTTTTAACTAATAACTTTAAACAATAAAAAACTAAAAATAATTACTGCTACTATATACATGTTATTTAACAATTTATTAAAACCAAAATAAAAAGAAGTGATAAGTTTAGTAAACGGTAGTTTTTGAAAGTAAGTTTCAACAAACAAAAATCTAAATATCATTATTGCCACAAATGTTCAGTACCATTGACATTGGATTAGAATCAAAATAAAATAAAACTATAAATTTAAATATTCAAACGACAACCATTTTTTTGGCAAAACTAATATACAAAATAAATCTTTTTTTAAACTTTAATTTTGAACAAAAAACTATAAATAATTATTGCCACTAATGTTTAGTATCACTTACACTGGACTAGAATGAAAACAAAATAAAAATATAATTATACATAATCAAACTACAACCTTTTGATCTCAAAACTAAAATACAAGACAAATCTTTTTTTAACTTGTGTAAAAAAAAATATTGTCACGAATTTTCAGTTAAAGAGTTTAAAAGCAATAATTTTACCAACATTCTTCTTCATCTGTTTTGTAAAATACAGTTTCGTTTTTTCCTGATAATATTTCCCGCTTTCGAAAATAATCTTTTAGCTGGCGTGGAACTGGCCATCACAAAGAGATGTTTAAGAACCAATTCGGTTAGTTTAGGGAAAGTTCCTTCAGAGCTTATTAATAGAATGAGGCGTTACTTCACCGAAATCCATTTTAATGTGGTTGTCACAGAATTAAGCAAATTAGTTTATAACAACTCCATTCCTTTAGAGCTTCTGCATATATTGAGGGCATCTGCCTTGAGATTTGATAATGGTGCCACAATATATAGGTTCGATTCAGTATTTTTGCCGATTGATGTGTTGGCCGCTATTATATTTTCATTACAAAATACTTCCGTCAGCCACTTTAGAGTGTTTTACAAGACATTTTTATTGCTTAACAATTATTTACACTCTCCAGAGAAATAAAGAAAACCACATAATACTTTTACTCATAGCGGAGAAAGAAAACGGTTGAAAACATACGAAAGGTGAAACTATTTTACATACATAGAGATACATACAGGTGGCGCTGTCTATTGATCGACTTGTTCTTGTTAATGAACTTGTCGTTTTTTCATCTGTCGCACAGATGACTTTGTTCTCTTGATCGACTTATTCATGATATTGAACTTCACGTTTTTAAATCCATCGCACAGATGACGCTGATTACAAAAATCGATTAAAACTCTTAATTTTCATAATCGATTTATTAAAAATCGATTTTTACTATCAAAAATCGTCTTTACAAAATCGATAACATGAAGAAAAAAATTCAATTAATATTAAAATCGATTATTTTTTCACATCCCTAATCACAAGCGGTTCCCAATATTTACTTCAAACTAGGGATGGGCAAAGGGAAAAATATATCGATATATATCGAATCTATATTCTTATACAGTATCGATATATATCGCGTTTTAATATCGATATATCGTCATCATTTGAATGATTTAAAGATAATGTCCAAAATTTTATCTACTAACGTTTGGACAACGAAAACACCGATACAACATTTTAAAATATATCGAAATTGATACGAATTCGATACCCTAAAATAAATATCGATATGTCGAT